GAAACCCGTTTAAGTCCCAGGCTCTGGTGTGTCACCCGTCTGGAGTCTGTTCGCTCAGCGCCTCCTTCGACGGTGCCCACGTCGTGACCTCAGGATCCAACGACTTCACCACCATGACCTGGAGCGTCTGCACAGAGTAAGGTCAAAGGTCATACATGGTACGGGGGGGTTAGACCTGGTTTAGACCTGGTTTAGACCTGGTTCGTTTTCTACAGTACAGATACATACACACAGTACAGTTGTACAGAACTACAGTACTTTTATACTTTTGTGTTTGTGGTGCAGAGCTCTGGAGGCGGCTGCTGCTCTAGGAGGTTCAGGGATGGAGCCGTTCTACAACATGTTGGACGGAGGACGACACGGAACCTTCTACAAGGTCAGAACCTTAAAGAACACCACAGTAACTCCACCACAGAAACTCACCACACCCACCAACTCCACCACAGAAACTCACCACACTCCACCACAGAAACTCCACCACAGAAACTAAACTCCACCACAGAAACTCCACCACAGAAACTCCACCACAGAAACTCCACCACAGACTCTCCACCACAGACTCCACCACAGACTCTCCACCACAGACTAACTCCACCACAGAAACTCCACCACAGAAACTCCAACTCCACCACAGAAACTCCACCACAGACTCTCCACCACAGAAACTCCACCACAGAAACTCCACCACAGAAACTCCACCACAGAAACTCCACCACAGACTCTCCACCACAGACTCTCCACCACAGACTCTCCACCACAGAAACTCTCCACCACAGACTCTCCACCACAGAAACTCCACCACAGAAACTCCACCACAGAAACTCCACCACAGAAACTCCACCACAGAAACTCCACCACAGAAACTCCACCACAGACTCTCCACCACAGAAACTCCACCACAGAAACTCCACCACAGAAACTCCACCACAGAAACTCCACACCACAGAAACTCCACCACAGACTCTCCACCACAGACTCTCCACCACACAGACTCTCCACCACAGACTCTCCACCACAGGTCCCTCTGTGTGTGGAGACTGAAACGTCCTGGTCCTGGTGTTTCTGTTCCAGGAGATGGAGGAGCTGTTCTTCTTCCTGCAGTTGCGTCTCCAGGGCACAGACTCAGAGCAGAGGAGGAAGGTCTCCACCACCATCCCCCTGAACCAGGTCTCCACCATGATGAGGGCCATCGGCTTCTTCCCCACCGAGCAGGAGGTACAGCCACAACTCAGGTCCTCATGTCCACCACGACTCAGGTCCTCATGTCCACCACGACACCACGACTCAGGTCCTCATGTCCACCACAACTCAGGTCCTCATGTCCACCACGACTCAGGTCCTCATGTCCACCACAACCCAGGTCCTCATGTCCGCCACAACTCAGGTCCTCATCAGGTCCTCATGACACCACACTCAGGTCCTCATGTCCACCACCACAACACCACGACTCAGGTCCTCATGTCACGACACACCACAACACGACTCAGGTCCTCATGTCCACCGCGACTCAGGTCCTCATGTCCACCACAACACCACGACTCAGGTCCTCATGTCCGCCACGACTCAGGTCCTCATGTCCGCCATGACTCAGGTCCTCATGTCCACCACGACACCACGAACTCAGGTCCATGTCATCAGGTCCATGTCCACCACGACACCACCACGACTCAGGTCCTCATGTCCACCACGACTCAGGTCCTCATGTCCACCACGACTCAGGTCCTCATGTCCACCACGACACCACAACTCAGGTCCTCATGTCCACCATGACTCAGGTCCTCATGTCCACCATAACATCATGACTCAGGTCCTCATGTCCACCACATCTCAGGTCCTCATGTCCACTACGAATCAGGTCCTCATGTAGACCAGGGATAGTCCTGGTTTAGTCCTGATTTAGACCAGGGATAGTCTTCATTCAGTCTTGATTTCGTCATATTATAGTCCTGGTTCAGTCCTGGTTCAGTCCTGGTTTCAGTCCTGGTTCAGTCCTGGTTCAGTCCTGGTTCAGTCCTGGTTCAGTCCTGGTTTAGTCCTGGTTCAGTCCTGGTTCAGTCCTGGTTCAGTCCTGGTTCAGTCCTGGTTCAGTCGTGGTCTTGTTTTCAGATTGAGGACCTTCAGAACGAGCTGAAGTTCAGCAGATATGCAGAGACGGGGCAGTATGTGACGGAGCTGGACCTGGAGGACTTGATAAAGCTCTACGTGAACCACAGACCTGCGTTTGGTCTGGTGAAGGAGGAGCTGGAGCAGGCCTTCAACGTCCTCACAGGAGACCAGGAGAACATCGACAGGAGCTCCCTGCTGCAGATCCTACAGAGCCAAGGTACAGGACCACAGGAGACCAGGGGTTAGTCCGGGTTTAGTCTGGGTTTAATCATAGTTTAGTCATGGTTTAATCTGGGTTTAGTCACGGTTTATTCACAGTTCTTGATCTTGTTGTCCAGTTGAGGTTATTAAGTCCTGGTTTAATCTTGGTTTAATCCTTTTAAGTCTTGGTTTCATCTTGCTAATACTAGTAGTTGTTTCAGTTGTAGTTGTAGCTGTAGTAGTAGTAGTAGTAGTAGTAGTAGTAGTAGTAGTAGTATTTGTGTGTATTACTTCATGTACTGTTCCTGTGTTGTTCCAGGAGAGGCCATGACAGAGGACGAGGTTCTCCAGAGTTTTTCTTCTCTCCTGAACCTGAGCCCAGACCAGGACTCCCCCAGAAGCTCCAGTGAGGCACAAACTTTTACTGAGACACTCACACAAACAGAAAACTGTTCACTTTTAAATCTCACAACATTTTATTTTCTGCAGATGTTTGAGACTTTAGTTATTTCTCTTTTAGTTGAAGTCTCGATTTTAAAGTCCTATTTCCAGATGATTTGTTGACGCGTTGCCACGGCGATGCCCACAGTGAACCTTTAACTCCAGACACACACACACACACACCAGTCAGTATTAGAAATCTCACTGACCTTCCTGCTGATTCTCTCCTGTTTGTGTTTTTCTCCAGAGAATCTCCTCCCCCCTGAAGTATCTGTGGAGACTTTAGCTCAGATCCTGGGCTTTTCTTCAGCCCAACCAACCTGCAAAAACATGAACCCCAACACCAGCAGCACCAGCAGCACCAGCAGCAGCAGCACCAGCAGCAGCAGTTCTCCTCTGAAGATCTGAGACGTTCTGCTCAAACATGCCTTCAGCAGAATATCTAACTCCAGTCATTTGAATGGACGTGTTTTTAAACCAGTGTGCTTCTGTTACTGCGTTTGTTAAACTTTGTTCTATTGATTTTTGCAGTGACATCACACTGGGGGAGTTTTATCTTAAAGCCTGTTCACACTTCATTAGAACATAACAACTTTGTTCTTGTTCTTGAGGTGATAAGAACAAAAACAAAGTTTGTTTGGGCTCTGACATTTCATACTTTAAAAGATGTTCTGCTGCTGAACTGCCCCGCCCCTCACTCTCCCCTCACTCTGCCCCGCCCCTCACTCTGCCCCACCCTGACTCTGCCCCGCCCCCTCACTCTGCCCCCCCTGACTCTGCCCCACCCCTCACTCTGCCCCGCCCCCTCACTCTGCCCGCCCCTCACTCTGCCCGCCCCCTCACTCTGCCCCCCCCTCACTCTGCCCCGCCCCTCACTGCCCCGCCCCCTCACTCTGCCCCGCCCCACTCTGCCCCCTCACTCTGCCCCGCCCCCTCACTCTGCCCCGCCCCCTCACTCTGCCCCCCTCACTCTCCGCCCCCTCACTCTGCCCCGCCCCTCACTCTGCCCCGCCCCCTCACTCTGCCCCCTCACTCTGCCCCCCACTCTGCCCCCTCACTCTGCCCCGCCCCTCACTCTGCCACTCTGCCCCCTCCCTGCCCCACCCTGCTCACTCTGCCCCCCCCCTCACTCTGCTATTGTTATTACAGACATTTAAGATAATTGATCATCTTGCCTATTTGAACATCTTTTTCATTCACAAACATCTCCCTTTGGCCCATTAGCTCAGCATTAGTACTTTACCTCCGTTTGACTTGAGTAGAAGTCGTATTGTTGGACGTTTCCGTGTGTTTGATGGCGTCCGGCCACTGCAGGGAGGTTTACAGCGAGGGGATTTTTTTCGTCCTCCAGCCTGACCACTCTTTTTTTTGGTGACCTGCCATTTGGCTTTCTTGCTCTGCACCAGCGAAGAAGAAGATAAACCATGTCTACATAAATAATCAAACAGAGTGAAGATGTGGGACAGAGCTGCAGAACTGCCAAACGAAGTTCTACTCAACTGAGCGGTGTTCTTATGTTCTTATGTTCTTATGAAGTACGAATAGTGTTGGGAAGTTTACTTTTAAAATATATTCCCCTACAGATTACAGATCCCAAAATGTAGTTTGTAACATAATCCATTAAATTACTTAAAGTGAGTAATGTAATCTGAATACTCTGGATTACTTGATATTGCCATGTTTTGTAAAACTACTTGAATGTACCAACCACATCCTGAAAATTCTTGTTTGTTTTCTTCAAATTGTCTGTTGAGCCAAAGTCTCCATGAATAAGCCACTGTTTACAGGATATGTTCACATGAGATGTTTTTTCTGCTTAAAAACAATAAAAAGTCCAGTCTTTCCTTAACCAGATTAAAAATATTATTGATAGAGAAATTATTTTTGCATAAGATCACCTTAAATTATGTCCAACCTACTGTTAAGTGTCATATTGTTTAGTCCTGGTTTTAGTCCTGGTTTTAGTCCTGGTTTAGTCCTGGTTTAGTCTTGGACTGGGTTAGTCCTGGTTTTAGTCCTGGTTTAGTCCTGGACTGGGTTAGTCCTGGTTTTAGTCCTGGTGTTAGTTCTGGTTTAGAGGTTCACAGGAGGAGGTTTACACGAGAAAACACAGTCCACACGCGGCGCATGAGACGTCGGTGTTTGTGCTGTAACTACAGAAGGAGACGTGACCCGCGCGTTCTCAGGTTGATGACGATGATGAAGTGTGTGTTTGTGTGTTGTGTGTGTGTTTGTGTGTGTGTTTGTGTGTGTTTGTGTATGTTTGTGTCTGTTCTACTGCCTCTTCCACCTCGTCCACTGTGCGACTGACGCCGCCAACGTGAACATGACGTTTACATCGCTCTTACTGTCGCGTTCTGTTTGAGTTTCCGGCAATGAGTGGAATTACGGAAATAAAAAAATAAATAAATGGGATGTAGCACAAAATGTGAAAACAGGAAAATACCGCCTTGTAATCCACTTATTTTAGCAAAGTAACTGTAATCTAATTACCACTCACTGAAACAGTAACTGTAACTGAATACAGTTCCTCATCATTTGTACTCTGATTACATAACAGTGGTACATGTAATCTGTTACACGAATAGGCCTTAGGTGTTTGGTGTCCAGACGTCCCTGTTTCCCCGGGACAGTCCCAGTTTTGAGCCTGTGTCTCCTGTTCCAGCAGATTTATACAAAACCACCCAAGTTTATACAAGAAATGTCCCAGGAGTTCCTCTTGACAAATTTGTTTCCTGCCAACAGTAAAGAGAGACATAAACGTCGTTTGTTTCGGTAAAATACAGAAAATCTGCTTAAAAACGACCAAAACACAAAGAAAATTTAGACAGAGCAGTGCCTACAGTTAGCATCACACTCCCAGAGCAGGTACAGTATCAAACGTGTGCTCAAAACAAACATGAGTCCTTGGTTTAGAAGAAAACACTATTGTAACTTTAACTTGGGGATTGGTTATTGTTTAAAGTTTCACTATGTCACTTTTCTAGTGGAGGATCTGAAACCTTCTAGTCTCCATGGAGATGTCACTTTTCAACCTGGAATGTTCCGCAATGTGGCATAAAACGTGAAGTGAAGCAGGAGAAACTACCAGGCCGAGGATTTTTGACAGTAAATACACTCAACTGAAAAAAAATGGCAAGATTCACTAGTTTAATGCCACAGTGCGGAACATTCAAAGCCACAACATCAGCAGCAGAGACGAGCAGCTCGTCCATCAGAGAAACTAACATCTTCATTTTTAATTTGACATGAAACTGGCCCGAGGATCAACGCACAAGATGAACCCAGAATCATAAAAAGTCAAATATTGAAACTGTTCTTTGTTCTGTTGTTTCTTATAAACATGATAAATAAATCAATAAATAATAAAGATCCCACAGTTTTCCCCGGGCCCCACACGAGAGCGGCTCCTCGGCTCCTCGGCTCCTCGGCTCCTCGGCTCCTCGGCTCCTCGCTCCTCGTCTCCTCCTCGGCTCCTCGGCTCCTCGGCTCCTCGGCTCCTCGCTCCTCCTCCTCATGCTCTCCTCGGCTCCTCGGCTCCTCGGCTCCTCGTCTCCTCATGCTCCTCTGCTCCTCGTCTCCTCGGCTCCTCGGCTCCTCGGCTCCTCGGCTCCTCATGCTCCTCATGCTCCCTCGGCTCCTCGGCTCCTCATGCTCCTCATGCTCCTCATGCTCCTCGGCTCCTCATGCTCCTCATGCTCCTCCTCATGCTCCTCATGCTCCTCGGCTCCTCGGCTCCTCGGCTCCTCGCTCCTCATGCTCCTCATGCTCCTCGGCTCCTCGGCTCCTCGGCTCCTCGTGCTCCTCATGCTCCTCATGCTCCTCGGCTCCTCATGCTCCTCATGCTCCTCCTCGGCTCCTCGGCTCCTCGTGCTCCTCATGCTCCTCGGCTCCTCGGCTCCTCATGCTCCTCATGCTCCTCGGCTCCTCGGCTCCTCGGCTCCTCGACTCCTCGTGCTCCTCATGCTCCTCGGCTCCTCGGCTCCTCGGCTCCTCATGCTTCTCGGCTCCTCGGCTCCTCGGCTCCTCGGCTCCTCATGCTCCTCGGCTCCTCGGCTCCTCTGCTCCTCTCCTCTGCTCTCGTCTCCTCGTCTCCTCGGCTCCTCGCTCCTCATGCTCCTCGGCTCCTCGGCTCCTCATGCTTCTCGGCTCCTCGGCTCCTCGGCTCCTCTTCGTTGATAATGTGGTGAAAGTTTGGGGCGAAGTCGTCGGCGGTGACACAGATTCAGGCTCAGATCAGATAGAGGCCGGGGCATTCGTCTCCGGGCGCAGCTGTGGTAATGTGTTCTGTATCTGTGGCCTTTTTTAATGCTCCCCTCTGTATCTGAGCGGCTGTAATGCTCCTCGCTCCTCGCCGTATCTGAGCCCCTCGCTGTATCTGAGCCCCTCGCCGCCGTTGCACACACTCAGCAGAGATAAGGCCAACACTGCACTTTTCATATCAGCGGCCGAGGGAGCCACAGTCACACAATCAAGATCAAACTACACACGACAATGAGAGTCACGACACAGAGTTTAGTGCTGATTTTGTCTCAATACTATGAAAACAGACACTACTACTGTTGTTACTACTGCTGCTACTACTACTACTACTACTACTACTACTACTACTACTACTACTACTTCACTGATTTATTTTATTTAAAACAAGGAAAACATTAATAAAAAGATGCTCTGTGCCAGATTTAGCTCCGAGCACATTAAAGAAACTATTTACATTAAACAGCTCTAACAACATTTCATCTACAACAGTGTCTTCTTAAAATAATCACAGTCCAATTCGTCATTAAATATTTTAACCAATTTAATTCATTCATTCTATTTTCTTTAAATACAAGATTTCAAATGTATCATTATCTTCAAAAGATACTCACATTCACTGTCGTCCGTGTGGGGGGTTGTGCAGGTTGTGACTTGGACTCGAGTCAGACTTGAGTCACTATTTTTAGGACTTGAGACTTGACTTGATAAAATGGACTAAGACTTGGGACTCGACTTGGACTTGAAGGTCAGTAACTTGGGACTTGACTCAGACTTGAGGCCTGTGACTTGAGAAGCACTTTTAACTCAGAATTTTTCTATTCTGACTGTAAAGATTCACTCTAAGATCTTGTCAACACATTTAAAAAGGAAAAATGTACATTTCTACAACTCTTATAAACTCTATAAATACTCATATACACGTATACTATGACTTTATAAGTACAATTTATCTCAAAAGTCTGATAAATTGGAAAAAATCTGAGCTATAGTTGGTGCTTTGGTCTAAAGACTTGAAATGACTTGAAGCTCAAAGCAGGCGACTTGGACTTGACTTGGATTTATGGGCCAGTGATTTGAGACTCGACTTGGACTTGCCTGTATTTGACTTGGGACTTGACTCGGACTTGAGGTCAAAGACTTGAGGCGTACTTGAGACTCGCAAAACAACGACTTGGTCCCACCTCTGTCAGTATCTCCTAAAAGTATTATTATCCTTTAAAATACAGTTCATTAACAACACCTATGTACTGCTGCCACGATCTGTATATTATTTTAAATCTACTTCATGATGTCATGTTTTTTATTTAATGAAGCATGAGCCTAGAAAGACTGAAGCACAACAAATGGGGACCTGATAATAAACAAATAAAAAGATCCAAAGTGGAATTTTTTTCTTTTAAAAACACTTACCAGCCCAAACCAGCCCTAGACTAAACCAGGTCTAAATCAGGACTAAACCTGAATTAAACCAGGACTTAGAACCCTGGCAAACATATTTATTTAAACCATCTATTTTGTTTTATTTTGTTTTATTTTATTTTGTTTTGTTTTGTATTGTTTTTATTTTATTGTTTTATTATTTTATTTATTGTTTTTATGTTTTTTATGTTTTTATTTAGTTTTTATTAGTTTTTTATTGTATTAATTTTGTTTTATTTTATTTTGTTTTGTTTTGTATTGTTTTTATTTAGTTTTTATTGTTTTTATTTTATTTTATTATTTTTACTGTTTTAATTTTATTTATTTATTTATTTTGCAGCCATCAAGTTCCACAATTTAAATATTTAACTTTTTAATTTGAACATATTTTAATTCCGCAGTACCCTCCTCCCGCCGCCAGAGGAGCTGCGCCGTCCCTTACCCGTCCTCTACGTCTCTTCCGGTTCTAAAACAAAATGGGAGGCGCCAAAGTTACGGATCGGGCAGCGCCAACGGTCACAGCGCTTCCCCCCAAACAAACCGAGACAAACGGGAGAGAAACGGGCAAATAAACTCCAAATACAGCGACGTTTCTGCGGGTTTTACACCGGGACAGCGCGCACTCTCCGGGGGAAACTAAACTTTAAAGAACGGCATTAAATAAAGACTTTAAAAGCGCTTTGTGGAGGTGTTACAAATGAAGAATGGGCTCCAAAAGTGAACAGCTGCTGATCGTCGTGTCAGTTTTAGAAGGTGAGGGATTTAAACAGATAAACACGAGGGAATTAAACTTATAATTTAGATAAAAACGCGTTACATTAAACCACGAATTGTCTTGCTTCGACCTGTTGTGTCCGCAGAAACAACACGAGCAAAAAGACATAAACTCTGGCGGAGTGTGGGCGGTTTAAAAGGCCCGTGAAGTTTACTGAGCTGGATTAAAGATAAACTGAATTTATTTTGTGTTTGTGATGTTTATGAACCCCTTTTAATCACAATATTTTTCATTTTGATCATTTATTAAACACCCAACCCTTTATAAAAGTCAGGTGAAAGTGACAGGAGGCTGGACACTCAGAAACAGAAGTCCTTCTAGTTTAAAATGTGATTATTTTGACTGTACATTTTTATATTCCTTTCTGTTTTTCTATCGTAATCAGTGTTGGGAAGGTGACTTTTAAAATGTAATTCCCTACAGATTACAGATTACATACCCCAAAATAGGGCTGGGCGATATGGATCAAAAAATCTCGATATACGATATATATCTCGATATATGTTCAAGAAAAAATAACCCCCTAAAACTGAAAACTGCAAAAACAAATCTGCCAATTCCACAAGGTCTTTTTTTTTTATTGAAGTATAAGAGGTCGGCAGTTCATATAGGAACACTTAAGATTACAAAAACCCTAATTACATAAATAATAATTTAACTGTAAAATAAAAGAAATAATACATATTTCCTTCTTTTCATTCATAAATAAAACCACTCAACACAAGCTCATCTTTGCATTAACTCTGTTAACCATCCAGACCAGAACCAGAACCATGAGCTCCTTTAGCAGAAGAAGCTCAGGATGTTCCTTATTTCAATAGATCCATGTTCCAGCAGTGAGGATCTGAGGTTTAATCCCACAATCCACTGCAGATCAAACCCAACGTTTCCAAACACTATTGTACAAGTTGACACTGAAGCAGATTATTAATAAAAATATTCTGCATAAATAAACTTTACATGACTAAACTTTACAATATATAAAGCATAACGACTCTAGAGCCACATCAGCTCGTTTGAGATAATAAAGTGTTTAATGCAGTTTTGCACACGTGTGTTTACATTTTACAGAAACAAAACTTAAGCGCATGACTCATTTGCATAAACAGCACTTCTCCTGCAGCTCAGCTCGTTCAGCTTCTTTCAGACTAAAGGACGCGACTCGGTGGAACATGAGGATGTGCTGCTGATGGTTTTGTCTGTAAATGGTGGAAAAGGTTCGTGGTGCTTGAAGTTTTTCACTGGCACCAACTTTCGGGTGTTCACGGTGACAGTGAGGAGTGAAGGAGACACGAGCAAACAAAATCAGGGAGGCGGAGGCGACGAGAGAGAAGGTAAACAAGCGAAGCGGCGAAATCAAATTTAATATAAGCATTATATCGATATATACGATATGTCAGAATTCATATCGAGTTTAAAAACTATCTCGATATATTTAAAATATCGATATATCGCCCACCCCTACCCCAAAATGTAGTTTGTAACATAATCCATTAAATAACTTAAAGTGAGTAATGTAATCTGATTACTTTGGATTACTTGATTTTCTGTAGAGAAACAAAGACGAGGAAATCTTCACATAAGAAGTTTTGTCTGATAAAAGAAAATTAAAAGACCAGACTTTACTGAACCAAATTAAAAATATTATTGATACAAGACGAGGAAACACGTCCACACAGCAGGATTTAGTCCTGTTTTAGTCCTGTTTTAGTCCTGGTTTTAGTCCTGGTTTAGTCCTGTTTTAGTCCTGTTTTAGTCCTGGTTTAGTCCTGTTTTAGTCCTGGTTTAGTCCTGGTTTAGACCTGGTTTAGACCTGGTTTAGATCTGGTTTAGATCTAGTTTAGACCCGCTTTTAGTCCTGGTTTTTGACTGGTTTTAGACCTGGTTAAGATCTAGTTTAGACCTGCTTTTAGTCCTGGTTTAGTCCTGTTTTAGACCTGGTTTTAGTCCTGGTTTAGTCCTGGTTTAGTCTTGTTTTAGACCTGGTTTAGTTTCTGGGAATGAGTGGAATTACTGGAGGGGGAAAAAAAAAGGGATTTAGCTCAAAATGTGAAAACAGGAAAATCCCTCTGTGTAATCCATTTATTTCAACAAAGTAACTGTAATCCAATTCACCACTCACTGAAACAGTAACTGTAACTGAATACAGTTACTCATCATTTGTACTCTGATTATGTAATGCCGGTACATGTAATCTGTTACTCCCCAACACTGATCGTAATACATGATTAATATAAATGTGTGTTATTATTATAAATGTTGTGTACATGTGTTTGAGCACTTTGACAGCTCCTGTTATTCTCGCTCTGAACTTTCTCTGCCTAAATGTGAAATACACTCTTGTTTAATCACATACATAACTCATTTAGGTCATTTACTAAACGCCAAAACCTTTATAAAAGTCACAAACAGAAGTGCTTATGGTTAAAGATGTGATTGTTTTGACTGTGTACATTGTTCTATTACTTTCTATTTTTCTATCATAATGTTTGTTATTAATATAAATTCGGTAAGAAAAAAAATGCAGTGACTAAATAATTGAAATTATTTTGGTCAGGGCCAAAAGGGTTTGAGCTCCATGTACGTTTAGAATGGCAGAGAAAGTTTAGTGACTAGAAACCTTAATTACATAAATATGAATTTAAATAAATTATAATTCATTTACAAATCTGCTGTCTTAGTTTAAAGAGAATAAGTTGCACTGTTTTTCTGATCTGTGTTCTGATGTTGTTTCCTCGTCACAAACAGACTTGGAGTTGTGTTTTGTTCCATTCACACACGTTTAATAGACAAACTCTGCAGATTTAGTTCTTTTCTCAAACAGAAAACACAGTGATGTCATACGTCGTGCTCCACTGTGTTTTTAAACTCCACACACCTTCACTTAAATCATTATTTGGATCATTTCGGTCTTGGGATTTGAAATCTCTAATTAAACATGTGAATAAACAAAACACAACTCCAGGTTCTGTTTTTGAGGAGGTAACAGTTTTATAATGTAACTTAAAGCTCAGAAGAGACAGTTTTGTGTAATACAGGACCTTTAATCTGCTCTAATAAAAGGTAATAACTGTTGTTTGAGCTCTTTGACAGCTCCAGTTAATCACACTCTGCACTCTCGCCGCTTAAACGTGAAATAAATAATTGTTGTACACGTTGTGACCTCTCGGCTCCGTGCTGCAGGTCGTCACTTCCCGAAGAGCTCGCGCCTCAGTCTGGTCGTCCAGGCCAGTTTCGACGGAGAGACTCTGAGCACAGACCCAGTGGAACATCGAGAACAGCCCCAGTTCAGCACCGAGCTCGCCTGGGAACTGAACCGACGCACACTGCACCAGCACAGGTACACAACACACACAGACGCACAACACACCGACGCACACTGCACCAGCACAGGTACACAACACACACAGACGCACAACACACCGACGCACACTGCACCAGCACAGGTACACAACACACACAGACGCACAACACACACAGGTACACAACACACAGACGCACAACACACACAGACGCACACTGCACCAGCACAGGTACACAACACACACAGACGCACAACACACCGACGCACACTGCACCAGCACAGGTACACAACACACACAGACGCACAAACACACGACGCACACTGCACCAGCACAGGTACACACACAACACACACAGACGCACAACACACACAGACGCACACTGCACCAGCACAGGTACACAACACACACAGACGCACAACACACACAGACGCACAACACACACAGACGCACAACACACACACGCAAACACACACAGACGCACAACACACACAGACGCACAACACACACAGACGCACACTGCACCAGCACAGGTACACAACACACACAGACGCACAACACACACGACGCACAACACACACAGGCACACAACACACACAGGTACACAACACAACACAGGTACACAACACACACAGACGCACAACACACACAGGTACACAACACACACAGGTACACAACACACACAGACGCACAACACACACAGTACACAACACACACAGGTACACAACACACACAGGTACACAACACACACAGGTACACAACACACACAGGTACACAACACACACAGGTACACAACACACACAGGTACACAACACAGTACATCCTAAAGGGGGCGTGTTATGCAAACATGATTTTTTGGAGTTTTCTCTCATGTTCTAATGAAAAACCCGTCTGAAGAGCTTTTAGAGTCATCCGTGCATGTCTGGGTAATCTAGCGATCTCCCCTGAGCCCTATTCAAACCCTCCTTACAGTTCGCTGCAGTACGAGTCTGTACGAGGCTCCGCCCCCCCACATGCTCCCACGCGACAACTCTCAATAAAAACACAAAAACACGACATAGACTGAACACAGCGACACAACAAACCTGATGTTTGTGCAGGAGTTTCATTAGTGCGACGCACAACGAGTGTGTGTGACAGTGCTCTGAAGGGGGAGGGACTTAGCACAGAGAGCAATGGGAGAGAAAAGTCAGAGAAACTTAAAACATGTTCATCTGTTCATACAAAACAGTAAAAGGAACATGGAGATCTAAATATGTGATGTGTTACAGTAAAATATTGTCTCTTTAAAAGAACATACAGATGAGACAAAGTCTTATTACGAGGGACGGGCCGATGTGGACTTTTGAAGCTGGTATTAGTTTTGCTGTTGTGGCCGATACAGATATACACTTTTTCAAATCCACAGGGTCAAACAGTTGTGTTAAGTTCTAGTAAATAATATCCCTGTGTTCTTCTGTGTGTCGTCTCAGGCTGCAGAGGACGCCCATTAAACTCCAGTGTTTGGCCGTGGACTCGGTCAGTAAAAAGAGCGAGAGTGTGGGATACATCGTCCTGGACCTGAGATCAGTGCAAGAAATCAAACAGGTCAGACTCACTCATACAACACCATATAGAACACTCTTAGAACACTACAGAGAACACTATAGGCGAGTTTCATTGTTGACAAAAGCGTGCGTTGCTGCTGGGAATTATTTTGGTCGGCGGCAAGAAACACTAATTCAACATGACGGACGGAGTGAGAAAGCACGTAAAGGGTATTGATCCCGGTTATTTCTCCACTCTAACGGCAGACGACCCAAGACCATTTGACCAGAAATTGGTCATAAAACATCGACGGACGACAAAATCACCCTTTTCAACCCCGACAGAGTCTGGACCAAACCAAACTTCTGGTCAGAATCTCCAACTCCCTGGACAAATATTCACTTGGGCGACATCCACAATGACTTGGTGAAACTCCTGGGCCATTCACAGCAGAAAAGATGAAAACCTCCAAGAGTCTGGATGTGTTGTTGAACTTGTTGAGTCCACGGTTTGTTAGGATCTTCTACGTTTGCTCTGCGGATGTTTGAAAGTCGTTTAATTCACCGTTAGTGGTTCTTTTCATGCAGAATACGAAAAAGACATTTTCCTTCTTCCGTGCTTCTATTTGTGCATCTGATAATGCAGCAGGAATTTACCATTATCGGGGAGAAATACACGAGGTTACACACTGTGTTTGACGCTACCGTGTTTCTTGCTTCCGACCAAAATATTTCCCAGCAGCAACGCGGACTTTTAATAACAATGACGTCAGCTGAAACTCAACTATTGACCTGTAGGAGATTAACTGTTTATGAAAGAAACCTCCAAACTTCTGCTCCACAAATGTTTCTCCTCCTCATTATCAGCTTCACAAACTCGTCACATTGATCTCGCATCTTTGGGGTTTAATAATGGCTTCAGTAACGGGGAATCGCTCCTCTTCTGAAGCGACTGTCTAAAAATCCTGTGACTTTAGTTGATTCTCCAGACAGAAGAAGCTGAACTTTGTGTCAGTTTTTGTTTCATGTGGAGAGTTCCAGGAGTTAGAGATCTGAACCATAAACCAGGTCACACATCTGTACCTGACAGTTACAGCAAACTCCACCTGACACTCTCACCTGTCTCACCTGTCTCACCTGTCTCACCTGTCTCACCTGACCTCTGCCCTCTCCTCTCTCTCGTCTGTCAGGAGCCGCGCTGGTTTCCTCTCCTCAGCAGTAAATACACCAAACTGAAGCCTGCGCTGCTTCTGTCCGCGCAGCTGGAGACCGACTCCAAACCAGAGCCAGCGTCGCTGGACAAGTTCAAGGCCAAACAGGCTCCTCCAAGGACGGGTCAGTCTCCCACAGGTCCACGCGAGACGTTATAAGAGTTTTTACACGTGTTTTTATCCCTCTGCTCCATGAAGATCTGCTCTTTTGAATGTCACGCTCTTTCTGGTTGATGTTTTCCTGTTTTTATAAGTGTGTTTTAAATGTCTTCTCTGTCTCAGCGTCTCCAGCTCTGGACCTCCTCCCCGACAGGCTGCAGCCGGTGCTGGTCGCAGATCGGGGGTTTCATCAGATCGGACCTGAGGATCTGTGCGCCGACATGTTCATGCTCTCCGTCACTGTGGCCTTCGCTACCAAACTGCAACAGGTCAGAACTCAGCCAATCACAGACCAGAACTGTGTCAGAACTCAGCCAATCACAGACCAGAACTGTGTCAGAACTCAGCCAATCACAGACCAGAACTGTGTTAGAACTCGGCCAATCACAGACCAGAACTGTGTCAGAACTCAGCCAATCACAGACCAGAACTGTGTCAGAACTCAGCCAATCACAGACCAGAACTGTGTCAGAACTCGGCCAATCACAGACCAGAACTGTGTCAGAACTCACCCAATCACAGACCAGAACTGTCAGATCTCAGCCAATCACAGACCAGAACTGTGTCAGAACTCAGCCAATCACAGACCAGAACTGTGTCAGAACTCAGCCAATCACAGACCAGAACTGTGTCAGAACTCAGCCAATCACAGACCAGAACTGTGTCAGAACTCAGCCAATCACAGACCAGAACTGTGTCAGATCTCAGCCAATCACAGACCAGAACTGTGTCAGAACTCGGCCAATCACAGACCAGAACTGTGTCAGAACTCAGCCAATCACAGACCAGAACTGTGTCAGAGCTCACCCAATCACAGAACAGAGTAGAGGTGTGCAGCTGTAGAACATTGTTGGTCTGAAGCTTTATAGTCTCTATTCACGCTTACGTCACAAACCAGGAACACGTTTGGAAACATGCGGTGAAACTTCCGGTGTAGTTCGCGTCTCTGGACTTGAGCGACTGTGATCAAACCCACTGAAGTAAATGAAGCCTGCAGACGTACGTGCTGTTTGGAATCATCTCGTCTCTTCTAATCTTCTTTCATATTGAGGCTCCTCGCTAAAGTAAAGCCATAACATCACGCCTGGACTATTGTAATTCTTTGTATGTAGTACGGAAGCTGAGAGGGGTCACAACAAACGCAAATGCTGCAACACATTAAAAAGCCACAACACATTAAAAAGCCGCAACACATTAAAAAGCCGCAACAGAAGTGACCGTGGGACTCTATTTTCCGACGGACCGATCAAGCGGCAAGTGAAGAAGAAGAACTACAACGTGAAACGAATAATGATAAAACAATAAATTACTTTTACTTACGTTTCCGACTTCTCCGTTCCTTTACTTTTCACGTTATAGTTCTCGGAGGGAAACGGGTCAGATTTTTTGACATTCAAATAGCTCTTTGACTATTGAAATAAGTATCAGAATGTAGGAAAGAGTTACACTCCAACAGGGTCAAGTTAAACCTGTGATATTCTTTCAAGTTCAAGACAAAAAATAAAAAACTCATGTCGGTAACGGAGGGAATGAAATATGCAGCACTTTTTGGTCAATAAATCCAAACAGTGATAACTCTTGGTTCTCACTTCCATATCCTTAACAAACTGGTTTGAATATTTGCTTCATATAGTTTTCTACCATATGGTACAAGATTAGGTTGAAAAACCTCTGACTTTTTGACTCATGAGATTTTTTATTAAGAAAGTTCATGGTAACGGAGGGAAAAGTAACGGAGGGAAAATTGTACAAACAAGTAGAAGGTGCAGGATTTTACATCATTTGTGGCTTTTTTCTTCTGAAAACTTTAATATTACTTCAAAATGAAAGAAACTATTTCTATAAAATATGTCAGTCCTTCCAAGAACATTTTTATCATTTAAAATTAATTTATTTTTAAAAATCCTGTCCCTTCATCAACAGTTCAAAGATGGAATAACACAAGATATGATGAAATCATCCATTTATTTACATGATTTTCAGGTCTTTGAAATTTGGGAAATAATTTTTGTTCCATGTTTCATACATGGTCTGTTTAAAACAAATGGAACTTTAGAACCAAAAATGGAACAGAAAAAAGGTCAACAGTTTGATAAACTAGAGACATATGTATCTGTTCAATACACTTTTATATCAGACGCATCAACTTGAATTTTTGGCCTTGATGTTTACTTCTGCTTGACCGGGACCATCTGATAATCAAATAAAATTTTAAATGGATATAATTATCAAATCACAAATTCTGCAATTTTTGAAGTCTCATAATTTCCTCCACAAACAAAACCTCGTCTAATTCTGCATAAAAACGTCTAAACCGTGTAGTTTAGATTTGTACAAACATGTTCTAAATGTGATTCTTTTGTTCATGTCAGTTCACATTTCAGTCTTTTGTTGATTCTTCTGGACGTGTTTTCAAATTTGAACAGAATCTTATTATTAAAACCTAAATCGGCATCTTAAATCTTGTCTGAATTCGTTCTTTTTCCTGACTCGTTCTTTCTTTCTCCATAATCCGTCCATCCTCAGCTGATCCCGTGTGACCTGAAGCTCTCCGCCGAGGGCTCGGACTACTTCTTCTACTACACGTTACTGGGGAACGACATCACGAGCGAGCCCTTCCACAGCCTCCTGGCGCCCGCCTTCGAACCCGAACGCGCCTCTGTACGCATCCGCAGCAGCAAACAGGTCCTGCACAGATTCCTACGCCAAGAGAAGAGTCTGCAGGTGAGAGCCGATGAACTACTGCACGGATGGGACAGGTTCTCATGTTTTATTTAGTCTGACTTGGTTTGACTCAGAATCACAACTTTTAAAACTGTAATTGAGACACGTTTTGGTCCTTGTTTACATTCTGGTTGCTAGGTAACAGTTCTGGAATTACCTTTATTTATGTGACGGGAAGTAAAATTATGAAACTGGGCAAGATTTTGAGTCCAATTTTAAATCTAACGATGTTAACAATGTTTTAGTGAAGTGAGTCAAACCTGTCACTTTAAAGAGTGTTTGATTGTGTCTTTACTCACCTGTGTCCACTTTCACTTTTTATTCATCTGTGTTCACATTTTATTCACCTGTATTTGCCTTTAATTCATCTGTTCACACCTGTTGTCACCTGTCCTCACCTGTCCTCACCTGTCCTCACCTGTCCTCACCTGTCCTTACCTGTCCTTACCTGTTCTCACCTGTTCTCAGATCCACCTGTGCTGTGGGAGCGTGTCTCTGGGCAGTGCAGACGTGCCGCTCTCTCCTCTCTGCTCGTCGTCTGTGGATCCGGAGACTAAAGGAGCCACGGTGGAGGGAGCGTTCGTCCTCAAACCTCCCAAGAAACAAACCAAAGCGGCGGTGAGGGCGGAGCTTCCCACTGTGGGCGTGGCCGTGACTCTGAGGAGGGAGGACGCACCTGTGCAGGTAAAACTCTCAACACTAAACACCTTTGGACAAGTGAAGGGAGTTTTCCGAGAGCCAGTTCTTTTGGCTCTGCTTCCTATAAAGACCCGGCTCTTTCACCAAATGACTCCTCAGATTTTCTGCTTTTTAAATTAATTTATCACCAAAAATAAAGCAAAACTGTGTAAATGATTTATTAATGTAAAAAACACACATGACATCAAATGTTTATCATCCTTATATGGCTTTAATTTCCAAACACAGTCAACCTTGAACAGAGTCCTACAAAATAAATAGTAAATTATTTAAAAAATTATGAAAAGAATCATTTCAGTTAGACAAACTTTCATTTATTTATTTGTGCACTGCAGCCACGGGGTCTTAAAAGTCTTAAAAAGGTCTTTTTTTTTCTGTCAGACTTCAGATCCAAAGGAAGCCGGCCCCTCGTCTCTCCCTGACGCTCCACTCGTGCCTCTGGTCCCTGTGGTCCCCTCTGGTCCCTCAGTCCAGCCCACTCCTGCTCCTGGTCCTGATGCTGTTCCTGGTCCCAGTCAAGACCCAGATCCAGGTCCAGATCAGGGCCTCAGGTCTCTGGTCCTGTCCCCCATCCCCAGAGAGGCTCCGGTGTGTGAGACCGAGAGTGACGCGGAGAGTGTGATGGACGAGCTGCACCGAGAGAGGGCGCAGGGTGAAGGTAAAACACGCTCGAGGGTCAAAGGTCACACACAGCCATGTTTGTAGTTTAACTCGACACAGTCTCGTTTGACGGCGTGTTTCTTCTGGTCTCTGTAGCGCCGCCCGCAGACTCAGACGTGTCTGTGTCTGTCTCTGCTCCTAAAGTCTCCATCCCTCCGTCCGCTCATCACTTCTGCTTCTCTCTGGATCTGAGGAGCATCGGGAACCTGAGCCTCCCCCACCCCATCTCTGCCACGCTCAGGTACTCACCCCCAACTCACCCATCTCTGCCACGCTCAGGTACTCACCCCCAACTCACCCCATCTCTGCCACGCTCAGGTACTCACACCCATCTCTGCCACGCTCAGGTACTCACCCCCAACTCACTCCCATCTCTGCACGCTCAGGTACTCACCCCCACTCACCCATCTCTGCCACGCTCAGGTACTCACCCCCAACTCACCCACTCACCCATCTCTGCCACGCTCAGGTACTCACCCCAACTCACCCCATCTCTGCCACGCTCAGGTACTCA